ATCACTGTCAGATATCATCTATACTTGTCCCATCTATGCCTCGTCCACACTGTGCCTCGACCCCACTGTTCTACCGTTTTTATCTATCAATATTGAGTAATGAGATAATTTTATTCTCACACACAATTTTTGTCATGTAATCTAATGTCCAGCATAGCTCTAAAAGAAAACATTCTTTACGTATTTTGAAATAAACGAGATTTAATAATTAATCTAATAATTTTTACTACAATTTTTTTGAATAGTAATCTGTGTTAAAATTGTGCTCTATTATTCTATCACATTTAACTTGTAATATAATATAGTACAAGTTTAAATAAATAGGTTTATACATTATTTTATTAAACCTTATTTATTTCAATATATATCTGTAGAATGAATTCTGTTAGAGCTACGTTTGACTTTTACCCCAAATTTAAATTTAAATCTGTACATATTATATTACATAAAATGTATTAGAACAAAAATTATTTCTAATAATATTTATTTAACATTTTTTTAATTACATATATAACAATATATATATATATATTAGGGTGGTCCTTAAAATACAAATTTTCAAAATTCGATTTACGCGCACCAAAAAATTGTTCTAATACATGTAAAAATAAACTGTGCAAAATTTGGTCCCGATAGGTTAACGTTAACACGTGCCGCAAGAGGGTTGAAAATTCGATCAAAATGGTAGTTTTTCAGTTATTGTGCTTTATCTCAAAATATATGATTTTTACGTAAAAGTTTATAAGAAAGAAATTATACATATAATTATTTTACATAAAAAAGGTTATTAGCAAAAAACTCATAAGTCAAATATTTACCTCCTAAAAGCCAAAAGTTCCATAAATATTATGTTTACCAGTAAAATTCATATATTTCGGCAATTTAAGTATATACGATGAACCGTTCAAGTTATAAAAAAAATTTTCATGTAAAAGTTATTTGAAATTTAATTTTCTATTAGTTTTGTAGAAAAATAAAATTGTTTTACGAGTTTTCTGGCGAGGTAATAAAGAAAACTTATAAATAACAATCATTTTTCTATGATAATTTAAAAAATAACGATTTTTTTNTGTTTTCTGGCGAGGTAATAAAGAAAACTTATAAATAACAATCATTTTTCTGTCATTTATCATTTTTTGTTTAGATAATGTTGTTGAGTTAAATTTGTTTAGTTCCTCAGAATATGAAACAGATGATGATTTGTCTGGTTCATCATATTCTTAAAAAACACGAGGGTTTATAACTTTTATGACTCCTAAATTACTTTCTGATCAACTATTCGACGGGAAAAATTATTTTTTAGTAGGAGAAAGGTAAATGAAATAAAAAAAAAATTAAATTTCTGGATAAAAATAGTCTTGTCTTGCATTGGGATGGAAAACTACTTCCAGGCATTATAAATAGAGCTAAAGTTGATCGATTGCCAATCTTGGTATCATTTGAGGGAGTAAGTCAATTACTTGGGTTCCCAAAAATTGAGAGTGATTCTGGCGAGAATCAGGTAAATGCAATTTTTGATTTATTACAAGTTTGGGATGTAAAAAATAAAATACAGGCCTTGTGTTGTGACACAACAGCTTCTAATACAGGTCGCTTAAATGACGCTTGTATATTGCTTAAACAACTCTTAGAGCGTAATGTGTTGTATTTACCATGTCGTAGACATATTTTGGAATTAGTACTAAAAAATGTTTTCGAGGTTAAACTTAATTTATGTACACCTGGTCCAGATGTATCAATTTTTAAAAATTTAAAGAATGTTTGATTAGTCTAGATTTGTTGAATTTTGATATTGGTATCAATGATATAATTATAAAAAATGCAGTTGAACACACTAAAAATAATGTAAAAAAATTTTAATTGGAAACATTAATAATTCAATAATGTAGAAATTACTACAAAGAATTTATGTGTTATTTTTATGGGTGAAACACCCTTTAATGGTGTAAAATTTCACTACCCTAGTGTTTTTCATCATGCTAGATGGATGTCTAAAGCAATTTATTCGTTAAAAATATACATGTTCGGAAAACAGCTTAAAATACGAGAAGAACATGCATTTCGTAATATTTGTGTATTTTTGGTAAAAGTTTATGTCAAGGCTTGGTTTAAGGGATCTATTGCCATACAATCAGCATTTAATGATTTATGTTTCTTAAAAGTTTTAATTAATTATCCTGATTCTTTTATATCTAAAGCTGCAACACAGAAATTTACCGGACAGTGTACCGGCAGATATTAAACTAAAAATGGTTGAGGCATTAAGAGAGACATCACAAAAACAAGATAAAAAAAATTACAATAAACCTAAATGATATTAAACTATTTAAAAAAAAAGAACTTAATAGATTTTTTGGAAACTCATCCTCATAGCTAGGTTGAAAATCCTGATTTTCAAAATAGTTTCAAAGTTTTATCTAATCCTCTTGTGACAAACGATATAGCAGAGAGAGGTGTAAAACGTATGCAAGAATACAATGAAATATTAACCAATGATGATGAACAAAAACAGTTTCTACTACAAATCGTTAATGATTATAGATCACAATTTGGAGATTGTACTAAAAATTCATTGATAAATAATAACAATTAATAATCCTATCAAAAAAAAAATTTTTTTTATATTGTGACAACTGGAAGAATTATTTTAGCTTCGATGCGAAGCGGAGAAGGTATTAATTTTACTATGATGTGTTTTTTTTTTTTTTTATGTCTGTTGCCACTTTTTCTCAGCTCTCACTGGACCGATTTCTTTCAAAAATACGTCAAAAGATCACAAATCGTATCTAGTTGAAGACATTACCCTTAAAAATTGAAAAAAATTCCCTCGTTCCCCGCAAATGGGGGAAATATCCAAAAAAATTACAAATTTAAAAATCGCTAATTTTCGAAATTTTTTCACTTTTTTTTCTTAAAACTTCCATAACTTTTTGAAAAATCAACAAATCAACATAATTTTTTTTTATACTAAAACCTTAGATATTTACCTTTCATTTGATATCATTTTTTTGAAAATCTATCACTTAACCTGCTCATTGGGGGGGATTTAAAATGGCAACTTTTTTACAAAAATTAATTTTTTCAACTTAATTTTTGAAAATGTTCCGGAAAGACTGCGTCCTTTAAACATATATCAAATTAAAGCTTATTTTATGTACTACAAAATGAAAAAAAAAAATTTGTCCCGACACTTTTTTTTCTACATTTAAACGGCTGCCGTAGTTAAAAAAACACTATTTTTGTGTTAAAATTTTCGATTTTCGATTTTAAATTTTCAACTTAAAAATGCTATAACTTTTTGAAAAATGTATATATCAGCAAAAATTTTTTTTTTCTAAATACATTATAAGTACATCTTTCATTTGACATACTTTTTATTAAAATTGGACAATTTCCCCTTATATAGGGGGCGTTCAAAACTTAAAATATTGTAAAAAACATAGATCTTTTTCAACTGAACTTTTGAAAATGTTCCGGAAATACTGCGTCCTTTAAACATATATCAAATCAAAGGTTATGTTATATACTATCAAATGAAAAAAAAAAATTTGTCCCGACATCTTATCTTCTATGTGCAAATGGCTGTCGAAAATTTAAAAAAAAATGTAATGTTTGCGATAAAAATTACATTTTATCGGGATGTTTTTTGTACTTAAAACTGCCATAACTTTTTCAAAAATGAACAAATAAAAATAATATTTTTTTGTATTGAAACCTTAGATATTTCCCTTTCATTTGATATAATTTTTTTTGAAAATCTAACACTTATTCTGCTCACTGGGGGGATTTAAAATAGTAACTTTTTTACAAAAAATAACTTTTTCAACTTAATTTTTGTAAATGTTCCGGGTATACTGCGTCCTTTAAACATACATAAAATTAAAGCTTATTTTATGTACTACAAAATGAAAAAAAAAAATCTGTCCCGACGACCTATCTTCTATACGCAAATGGCTA